CCTGAAGTGGTTGCATGTGCCCAACTGCTTTCGGCCTGTGTTTGGCCTGGTACCCGTATCCAGCCCAGGGCCTGCTTCACGTACATTCACACAGGAGGCCCAGGGCCTGGGTTCAATCAACCAACTGGCGCTGCGCAACTGCCTGAATTTCCCTGAGTTGCATGGTGGCCAGAAAAGGGCCCTGAGGGCCTCGTTGAGCCTGCCTTCACTTAGGGCGGCCGACGGGCTGCAAAAAATAGGGGCCTTATGGGGCTCTTAGAGGCAGTGGCCTCGCAGAATACTCTCATCTGAGTAAATCCGAATACTTGTCATTTCTTTTCGGAATTTTTTTTTTTCGCAGTTCTAGGATTCTGTTAGTCAGTTCTATAAATCATTTGCAGTCTGAAGTCCGAATTTTTTTCTCATTGATAGTTTCGCACTTCAAGGGAGGTTGGGAGACCTACTAAACTTGCAAAAGTCGGGATTTTTTATTTTTCTCGAATTTTTTTCGCAAAGTTCAAACTTTTCTTTTTTGATTAGTGGCTCCTTATCTTGGTGTTATCTGGGCGATTATCCCACCCATCCCTCCCCACCTATGTTGTTGCCACCTCTGGTCTTACCTTCTCTCTCGGTCCCCGGGTACCCCTTGCGGCGGCATTGGTGAGTTGCCACGTCAACAGGCCACGTCAGCAGACTACATCAGCAGGAAATACCATGTCAGCAGGCCCCCGGCCTGGTCTATGCTGTCGTGTTCACAAACAGCCGTCATGGACCAGAGGTCCAAGGAAACAGACGAGGCCTATCAGGCCCGGATGCTAGCCTGGAGTACCGAAACAAAGAGACGGGCAGATGACGCAGCAACAGCAGCGAAGAAGAAGGCAGAGGACGCCGAGCAGGCACGTCTGCTGGCAGTGGAACAGCAGCGCCAGCACAACGAGGCAGCAGCAAAGGCTGATGATGAAGAACGAGTTCAACGGCGGGAGAAGATATTTAGCGGAGAGCAGACTTTGCTCACAATGGCAGCGGATTGGCGGGCCGAGGCCGAGAATGGCAAGATGGAGGATATCGAAAACAGGATCGCTCTACTCCTCTCCCATCTCACGGACCTCCTGGCAACATGCATTACACAGCAGGAGGACATCCACAGCCTCGACGACGCGCTGACTCAAGTCCACAGCCGCCTCCGGCAGCTGGAGCAGCGACATGTCGCCTCCCCCAATGCCAGCTCTTCCAACACCTCCGATCGCCTCGAAGGATTGGAGATGGACGCGGCTCCCTCAAGGACGGCGTGCAGTTACAGCAGACCGCAACGCAACAGTTGGAGCAGCGGATCTGTACTACCGCCAACAACTCGAGTTCGGAACCGCGCGAGACATCTCCAAAGTTTGACGGGCAGGAGATCTTCTGCGACTCGACGAAGACAGATCCGATTCCATGGTTCCGCAAGTTCGAGCTCACATTACAGTTACACTACGTCAAAGAACACAAGCACCATGCGTACTTATACTCCCGCTCGAGGGGCGCGTGTCAGGCATGGTTGGACAATCTCTTGTCCAACTACATAGTGGTAGCTGCCGACTTGCACACCAAGATCAACTGGGATGATCTGAAGGCGGCGTGGCACAAGCGGTTCCAAGTAGAGCCGCCGGAGATCAAGGCAATGGACAAGCAAATGGTCTTCGAACAAGGCATGATGCCAAGTGTTGACTGGATTGCCGAGTACCAACGCTTGACATCAGTCCCAGACATCCAGATGGGCTTCAAAGCCATCCGCCACTATTTCATCTCAAGATCGTGTCCGACATTAAGCAATGCCTTGACTCACGTCGAGTACACCTTGACGACAACGGCGGAACTCTTTGACAGGGCCGCGCAGATTATCATCACGAACAAGGAGGCTAAGAACCTGTGTTCGTCTGCGCCAAGCCCGAGCAGAGTCCAGCATCGGCCAAGAGTGGCTATGGTCGCGGCGGCAATGCCATTTGACCAAACTAGCGAGGCTGTGTCTGCCAATGAAGAGAACAGACTCGAAGCCACCCGGGAAGGTGGCTGCCCCAGCAAAGGCCGAGGACGCGGCAAGACGAAGACAAACACCGCATCTAGCCCCGGGCCCAGCGCAGCAGCTCCAGCCCCATGGTCCCAATACGGCATCTCCGAGCAAGCATTCAAAGCGCGCACGAGATTCCACTATTGCCTATGGTGCAACAGCGATCTCCATGAGACACTGGCATGCCCGTTGAAAGGCAAGGGCAAATCAGGAAACTGAGCACCGCCGGGAGTGACTCGATGACACTCTCGACGCCTTCAAAACCGGTCGCTTCGTGGGTGACTGCCCTTCGTTCCAAGGCACATGCGGAAGTCTAGAGTCCTCTTCTCCGTGCGTGCGGCATCTTCTCCGTGTATTCTTTTGAGGACTATGCTGCCCGGCTCGTTCCTACGCTGGGTACTCAAGCTCAAGGACAAGACGTGTGTGCGGCATCTTCTCCGTGCGGCAGCGGCAACTTATCGTCTTCAAGTGGTTCTTCAAGGGATTCAGCGCGCGAGTTCAACATAGAGGTATTGGACCCGCTCACGTTTGAGGACTTTGCATGGCTTCCTCTCCCGACCACGGGCCGCCTGTCGGGACCGCAATGCGCAACACTATGCGCTCATCTCCACACGTACTTATCCTTCTATGAACCACCAACTTCGCCGACGGATGACGAAGTCGCGGTGGGGGACATCCTTGCGTATGCTACCAAGGTGGCCCGCGAGTTTCGCACGCAGCGGTACGATGACAACAACGCACCGCTCATGTATGTCCGCATCCAGGTTGGGCAAGCGTCCTGCAGCGCTTTGCTGGATAGCGGCGTGTCTTGCAATTTCATGAGCCAAGCCTTTATGCAAAGGGCTGGCCTTGGCGCACAAGTTCGGAGGAAGGCAAACCCGACGGCGATCAAGTTGGCGGATGGAAAAACGCAGCAACTTCTCGACCGTTACATCGAGGTTGTACCGGTTTATTTCGCACCTCATGCATGCGAACCAGTGACATTCGACATTTTGGACACGGACTTCGACATCATTCTGGGAATGCCTTGGCTTGCAAATGCGGATCACACGGTCAACTTCCACAGGCGGACTCTTAGCGTTCGCGACATCTTCGGCGCCGAAGTGGCGTGTAATATTCCTCTTCCGCACCCTTCAATTCGGTGCCAAGTGGTGATGGCCAAATCATTCCGGGCAACTTGCACTTACGAGCAGCCCGAGGAAATCGGCCTATGTTTCCTACGGACCGTCTCGGTAGCCGACTCTTCACCCACGGACTTGTCTTCGGACACCCGGGTGGTGCGGTTGCTGGACGAGTTCGCCGGCATCTTCAAGTCACCTACCGGTGTGGTGCCGGATCGACAGATCTCTCACGAGATCATTCTTGAGGCCGGTGCCGTACCGCCAAAAGGTTGCATCTATCAGATGAGCGAGGAGGAGCTTGAGGTCCTCCGCGCACAACTCGACGACTTGTTGGCCAAGGGCTGGATCCGCCTTAGTAGCTCCCCATATGGAGCACCAGTTCTCTTTGTCCGGAAGAAGAACAAGGATCTACGGTTGTGTATCGACTACCGCAAGCTCAACGCGCAAACCGTCAAGAATGTGGGGCCTCTTCCTCGCATCGACGATCTTCTTGAGCGATTGGGCGGTGCAAAGTATTTTTCTAAGTTGGATTTGAAATTGAGATATCATCAAATCTCGATCCGGTCGAATGATCGCTACAAATCCGCGTTCAAGACGTGGTACGGGCATTTTGAGTGGGTGGTCATGCCTTTTGGCCTCACCAACGCCCCGGCGACCTTTCAAGCGGCAATGACCAACGAGTTTCGTGCAATGTTGGACCGGTTCGTGCTGGTCTACTTAGACGATTTTCTCGTCTATAGACGGACATTGGAGGATCGTCTTGGGCACCTTCGATGAGTGTTGGAGACGCTCCGCCGCGCTAAGTACCGCGACAAGTGTGAATTTGTCCGGCAAGAGATGGAATACTTGGGCCATTTTGTCACACCGGAGGGCATCAGTCCGCTACTACCGGACAAGATTCAAGCCATCCAAAAGTGGTCGGAGCCTCGGAACGTCACGAATGTCCGTTCGTTCCTTGGCCTCGCCGGCTACTATCAGTGTTTCATCAAAGGCTACTCGAAGATCACGACCCACTTGACCAAGCTTCAATGCGAGGATCGGCCGTTTGACTTCGGAGAGGAGGCGCGGGAATCATTTTTGGCTCTCAAAGCCGCGCTATTATCTGCGGAGGTCTTGCGCATGTGCGACCCGCTTTTGCCTACGTGCGTCACTATGGATGCGTCCGGCTATGGCATTGGTGCCATCCTCGAGCAACACAATGGCGTGGACTAGCACCCGGTCGAATATATTTCAGCAAGAAAGTGTCCGTCGTGCACTCCATTGACGATGCACGCAAGAAGGAGCTCCTCGCCTTCGTCCACGCGCTCAAGCGGTGGCGACACTTCCTCCTTGGTCGAAGCCAATTCCGATGGGTAATGGACAACAATCTGTTGGTCTTCTATAAGCCCCAAGACACCGTCAACAGCACCATCGCTCGATAGATGGCTTTCATCGACCAGTTCAACTTCTTTCCCGATCACATTCTCGGGAAGTCGAACCGTTTTGCGGATGCTCTTTCACGGCGTCCGGATCATTGTACCGTGGTCTACTCAACCTTTGAGATCGACGACGACCTGCGGAACAGCTTCATCCGCGGCTACCAAGCCGACCCCAAGTTTCGCAACAAGTACGCGAATTGCTCCTCTCCTAATCCGGCGCCTTCTCACTACCGGATCCAAGAGGGGTACTTGCTTGTCCAGACACGGGGGAAGGACCTTCTTTGCGTACCGAGTGATCCTCACTGGCGTACACGGCTTCTTGGCAAGTTCCACGATGCTCACGCGACCGAACACTTTGAAATCGCACGATTGGCCGACTTCGCGAGCGATTTTGGTGGCCCGGCCTTCTCGGCGACGTCACACGCTATTGCGAGTCATGCGAGGTTTGCCGACGCTGCAAATCCCGCAACCACCGTCCGCACGGCGAGTTACGACCATTACCGGTCCCCTTGAGGCGAAGGGAAGCGATTGCCATGGACATTACCGGCCCGTTCCCCAAGCACAAGACCGGCGTGGATGGGATTCTCACGGTGGTCGACCGACTCACCAAGTTCGCCATGTTTTTGCCTTGCCGCTATCATGCCAAGGCACCGGAGTTGGCCGAGGTTTTTTACGCCGGTTGGATTCGAACCAAGGGTTACCCCAAGGAAATTATCTGCGACCGCGACACTCGGTTCATGTCCGATTTTTGGTTGACGCTCATCAAGCAATGGGGCTCATCTCTCAAGCCCAGTTCAGCTCGCCACCCCCAGACCGATGGCCAAACGGAGAGGGTGCACCAGACCGCACAGGTTCTCCTTCCCACTCTCATCCGTCCTGACCAGAAGGATTGGGATGAGCGGATGCCGGATGTCGAGTTGGCCTACAACTCCTCCATCCACCCGGCTATCAGGATGTCGCCCTTCGAGTTCGAGCACGGCTCGCCGGTCACTTCGCCGTTGGACACTATCATTCCACGAACGGCCGAGAGCGACGACCATCTTCTTTTCTTGCGTCGGATGCAAGGGCTACTTGTCAAGGCACGCGACCAGATGGCCAAGACGCAGCAACGCATGAGCCAACAGACCAATCGCCAACGTCTTCCTTGCCCATTCCGCACCGGCGATCTCGTTTGGGTCGCCGCCGCAGAATTCAGCCTTGAACAAGACATCTCTCGCAAGCTCCTCCCGAAATGGATGGGGCCTTCGCCGATCGTGGCACCCGCCGAGGATGCACCCGAGGGACCTTCCTTCACTATTCAGGTGCCCGCCCACTTGCCCGTCTACCCAGTCTTTCATTGCTCCAAGTTGGCTCTTTCCACGCCAGCAGAACATGACGATTTTCCCGAGAGACGTTCGCAAGACCCACCCTCTATGGACGGTTTTCAGGAGGTCGGCGACATCAGCTCCCAGCGACGCTACGGCAACAGGCCAACCGAGTACTTGGTACATTTCGCATACTGCACACATCGAGCTGACCGTTGGTTGACCCGTGCGGAACTTCAAGCAACAGCTTCGGACGTTCTCGCACGCTACGAACGCAAGATGCAAGGCAAGCCGGTCTCTTTGGCCCCACGCCGCGCCCGCGTCCAGGTTTCACCTTCAGATCGTCAGCTTCGCCCTCGCCCTGGCTTGACTTCATAAGGAGGGGGGGGTGTTACATGTTGCGCCTGCACATGAGGGCCATTTTCCAGGCCCTGCTTCCCTCAGGCTGAAAGCCTGAAAACCAGGGCCTACAGGCCCCGTGACCATTCAGCTCGAAAGCCTGAAAAGCAGGGGCCTACAGACCCTGTGTCGTTTCAGACTAAAAATGGCAGTAGCCTTTTTAGCCTGAAAAAAAGAGCCATTTCCGGTCTGTCATCAGACCGGCCTGCCCTGAAACTCAGGCACCGAACCAGGGTTTTAGGAACAAGCTATTTTTGGCCTGTTCCCACGACAGCTGCAGCACCAGCCCCTGGCTCAGTTCGGCATTGGCAAGAGCAGCCTCCTGGACTGCCCACCCTGCAACTGCAGGCAGTCGGAGGCAGTCAGGAGGCAGGCCGAGATAGTACATAGGGACTCCCCATGCACTTCACGGGTAGGCAGGAGGCAGTCAGTAGTCTTCAGGATTCGGCAGCAGCACTCTGGAGGGAGCGCTGCAGGAGTAGTAGTAGCGTTAGCATTAGTCTTCAGCGCTGGGGGCCAGTAGGTAGCTGTAGTCTTCAGCGTTGGGCGCCATAGCTAGGATAGTACTAGAGAGAGAGAGATTGGGTGGAGGCCAGGAGTACTTACCTGCAGCGCCGTTGCTCCAGCTTCGTCTTCGMGGTACCTGCAGCACAGCGCCAACTTCACAGGTTAGTACCTGGCTTGTGACAAAGAGAGTTCTTCTTCTTCCTCTTCTCAGTCCACCATCTCCCTCTCACCCTTTCATTATCTGACTTCACTGCACCAGCAGACTACGAGAGAAAGAGAGAGAGAGAGAGAGTGTGGTGACGTTGGATCCAGACTCAGCTTTTGGGCTTCAGACATTTCAACGAGGGATTATTTGGGACTGGTGACAAAGACTTGGTGTTGACGACATTCCCATCTCCCCCCCTCTTCTTCGACTGATCCCCTCCTCTTTGTCTGTGTATGTCTGGACCTGGCACTTCCTTCCTGTGTATAGCGCCAGGCTCCTTCACACCTTGTGATGAGCATGATTTATGTTTGGTCTGCTTTGAAACATTGATTGGGCTAGTCATTAGTATTCTAGTATTCTGCTTCGCTATCTTGTACTACGTGAAAGGGGTCAGTCTCGGTCAGGTCAGGATTTGTATCTAAGTCTTCCCTGCGCTATAAAGCACCATTTTGTATGTATCTGAATGCACATTGCTTGTTGAGATTCCACTTGCACTGCATTGTCCATTCAGTCCTTTTTATCACATTGCGGATCCTCGGTTTTGTATGTACATCGCCCAACTGGGCATGTAACACTTACTGACCGTAGTATGTAAGATGATCTCAAAAGCCCTAGCTGATGGATTAAGAGGAGTGATGAGGTCAATAATTCATCCCAACCAATTTGGCTTTGTCGGGGGGAAAGGGACATCTAGGACAACATTTTGTTAACGAACAAGGTCCTCAAAATTGTAGTACAAGACTAGGCAAATGCAGCACTGGTGTTTATTGACTTTGAAAAAGTTCAGAGCCATGTAGAATGGGGATGCAGAAGTACTCTTTGCCCTGCTATAGGCCTGGGCTATTTTTATTTTGCTGTTAATCTGCTTGGCCTGTGGGACCAGGCTGTCACCCTGTCCCCACAGGCCAGGTATTGGTCAAGTCCGGTACCAGGTCAATACCAATCCAGTTCAGTTCAGCTCAGTCAATCCGTTGTGGGTATACCCTAAATGCAGTTTGTACATTTCATTTATTCTGCAGCGAGTCTTGGAGGATGGACGTGTACAATGTGAGTCTATGGTGTGTGCTATGGCTGTCACTGTCTTGCTTGATCAGCCTCCCAGCTCCACCTCCCATCTCCACCATATCCTCTCTCTCTCTCTCTCTCTCTCTCTCTCTCTCTCTCTCTCTCTCTCTCTCTCTCTCTCTCTCTCTCTCTCTCTCTCTACATAAGCTTCACTTTATTTAATGTGACAAAGAATTCCCGCTTCCAGGAAGCCGCCTAACTGCGCGATCACCAAAAAACCATTGACATCAGCGCTTGGTTAAGTTGGTAATTATGATATTTTCTTTGCCGACAACCAGTGAAGCTGTTTTTACTTGAGTAATTACACCTATGCCGGAATGAAATGATTCAAATCATATATGACCTTCAGAAAATCCATATACCCTTCAACTTCACAAATCCCCTTGGTTGAAAGGTATCACAGACTTTTTGGCTTTCTGAGCATTTTTTCGGCTGCTAGTGCCTCCCCCCCCCCCACCAATGTCGTTGCCTTCCTCCCCTTTGCGCAATCGTGTGCCCCCTCCCACCACAGCGCCCAATCACAGTCCCCCAGCACAGCGCCTAATTGTAAGTCATGTCCATCTAGTGCCTACCAGTTATGAACAGGACTGGAGCCAGTCCTACTGATTCCAGCCTCCCAACCGGGCGCTATGGGCCCACTCTAGACAGTTTTGTCCCCGAACCCGACTTAGTAGAACCCAAGCCGATCCCCCATGGAATGGGTGTGAATGACCAGACACCCTCCTAGAAATATACACTACACCCCCAAGCTATCCCACCCTCTAGACAGGAAACTGGACCTCTATGTTATGATTTTGGTTGTCTGTTGAATTCGATCAACACTCGCACTCAGACAATCTCACACATGCCCATACATGCATAAGAAGAAGGGGAGAGGAGACAGTACACACTGCGCACGGACAGAGTAGACAGCGGAAAAAATCATGCACAGTTGTGGAGACAACACAAAGTGTTTCTCACTCTC